CAGACTTGGTATCAGAGCCAAGGCTATAGAGAATGACGGTTTCCCCTAGGAAAACCTACACTAATGTCAACATACAACTAGTATAGTTAGCCTAGCTTCGCATAGTAGATCTTAATTAAATAGAGCGTGATCACCTGTGTTTAATTAAGAAATACTAACGGGAAACTAGGAATAATTATAGTAGGAGTATGAAAATTTTATTTAAAATAAATAAATAAATAAATATTTGCATGCATGGCATTTGTGCGTGATCACTGTGCATACGTACTTTGTGGAGCGCTGTATGGACTTGATGTCACTACGGACACTATTGCGTTAGCATTAGAGTATCACTAATGTCGAAAAATTATGTACTAACGGACTATATAAACACTCCAGTCGCTATGGCACCATCTGTAACAAGGGCTTCATCAGAAGAGGGCCCGTCTGAACATTCTGAATCATCTATCGAAGTGACGAGAAACAGTACATCCACTAATTTGTACCAGGTGCCCCCTACTAGAGTTATACCCCAACCTCCACCTGTAAACCCAGCCCCAGAACTAATGTACCCAGGGCCTCGTACTAAGGTAACGGCTCGAAAAAGAGTCGCTCTCCCAGTCCGAAGCGGGATTACCATACCCCATGACTTCATGGCTGGACCCTCCTGTTTTTCCCCGAGAGCATCGACCTTAAGGAACCTAGGAGCACCAACCGAAGAGACCTTGAGGTTGAGCACTCTTGAGAGTGAGATTAGGAGCTACCAGGGTAGGGTGAATCGCCAGGACCAGGCTATACTAAGGCTGACCGAAGTAGCACACCTATTGGAGCAAGGCATGATCCAGGCTATTTAGAGGATCGTAGAGGTTACCAGGGCGGCAAAAGGATAGAGCTGTGGTACTGGACGGTGACGATTCTGGTGGCGATATTGATTCTCGTGCTTGTGACCCTTGTGCTTCGTAGCTTTTAGAATTTTCTGTCATGTATTCCAATTTCCCTCCTTTAAGATCATGCATCGTAATGACGTGATAACATCAAATTTTGGAAAAGATTGCGGGAAGATATTAATTGCTTGTTTAAAATTTCCTATTTCAGTCCATATATGAAAAGCTATTCCCTATTTTATTTTTCCAATAAACTGTTATAAAGAGGGAAAACCTTCATTGCAAAATAAATAAATAAATAAATAAATATATATATATATATATATATATATATACAACCCTAACACAACCTTTTCTTTCAAATAATTTAGAACCATGTCAACAAGGAACAACCGAAGCACGGGAGGGGCCCCTGAGAATCGATCACCAGACATTGCTCAGCTCATAGCCCAACAGGTTCGAGATGCCATCCCTAGCATTGTCACTCAAGTTACCGCCAGCATCGACAACCATCGAAGAAATGATGGAGATCAGAGTGGCAGTGATCGAGGATGCACCTACAAGACTTTTATGTCATGTAAGCCTAAGGAGTTTTACGGCAAGGAAGGCGCCATAGGATTATTGTCCTGGTTTGATAGCATGGAGTCTGTACTCCATATTAGTAAGTGCTCGGAGGATCGTAAGGTGGAATATGCGGCATGTCAATTGCAAGGCAGGGTTCTCACTTGGTGGAATATCCAAGTGCAAACCAGGGGTCGAGAAGYGGCGTACAATTTGTCATGGGAAGATTTCAAGAAACTACTCATAGAGGAATACTGCTCTAAGAGTGAGGTGCAAAAACTGGAAGCAGAATTCTGGAACCATACCATGAAGGGCATGGATGTGGACACGTATACARCACGTTTCCATGAACTTGCCAAGCTTGTTCCACACATGGTGACTCCGGAAGAGAAAAGGATTGATAGGTACATTTGGGGACTGGCTCTTGAGATCCGAGGGATGGTGACATCCGCTAACCCCGCTACCATCCAAAGCGCGGTGGTTTTAGCCGGTCGCTTAACCAACGATGCTATTAGAGCAGGAGCAGTAGGCAAGGTGAATGTAGGTGGGAAAAGGAAGCCGGAAGATCAACTAGGACGGAAGACCAGTGGTAGTTCGAACCAGAGCTCGCAATTAGTTAGGAACTTTGGAGTAAGGGCACAAGGGCAAGGAACATACATGGGTTCCTTACCAAAATGTAACAAGTGCAACCGTCACCACCACGGAACTTGTCTTCGGTGTGCAAAGTGTAATCAGCTAGGACACACCGGACAGTACTGTAGGAAGGAAGGAGAAACTCATAGTGAAAGGAAGAGATGCTTCGAATGTGGAAGCCAGGACCATTTTAGGGACAGATGTCCTAAATTAAGGACAAGACCGAGGAGCAACATCAGTGGTAGTCAAGGAAGTCGCACCAATTCAGTGAGTCAGGGAATGCAAGCTCGGGGAAGGGCTTTTGTGATTGGAGCTGAAGAGGCACGTCAGGATCCCAATGTGGTAACATGTACGTTTCTTTTAAACGACCATTATGCATCGGTGATTTTTGACTCTGGTGCCGATAGAAGTTTTGTTTCCTTAGACTTTAGACCCCTAATTCACTTAAACTCTAAAAGWCTAGATGAAGCGTACACTATAGAAATGGCTGACAGACGAAAGTTCGAGGCTTGTGATATAATTCCTGATTGCACTTTAGGCCTAGCTGATAGGCTGTTTAGTATAGATCTCATTCCGATCGAGTTAGGAAGTTTTGATGTAGTTATAGGCATGGATTGGTTGTCACTAAATAGAGCTCAAATAGGCTGTTATGAGAAGGTTGTAAGGATTCCATTACAAGGCGGCGAGACACTCATAGTCCAAGGCCAAACACCTGAGAGAAGCCTTAGGATGGTATCCTGTATGAAGATTCATAGCTACTTGAGGAAGAAGTACCTGGCGTTCTTAGCCCAGGTGACAGAAAAGAAACCTGAAGGGAAGAAACTTGAGGACATTTCGGTAGTACCATATTATCCTGAGGTGTTTCCAGACGAGTTGCCCGGACTACCTCCACCAAGGCAGGTCGAGTTCCAAATCGACTTAATTCCTGGAGCAGCACCGGTTGCCAAAGCACCATACCGCTTAGCACCGGCAGAAATACAGGAGTTGTCAAACCAAATACAGAATTTACTAGAGAAAGGATTTATTCAGCTAAGCTCTTCACCCTGGGGAGTACCTGTATTGTTCGTTAAGAAAAAGGATGGATCCCTCAGAATGTGCATAGACTATAGGGAGCTGAACAAGTTGACTATCAAGAATCGTTATCCACTCCCTAGGATAGACGATTCGTTTGATCAGCTTCAAGGCACTAGCTTCTTTTCTAAGATAGATCTACGGTCAGGGGTCAGGATATCACCAGCTGAGAGTCCATGTAAAGGATGTTCCTAAGACGGCGTTCAGGACACGCTACGGACATTATGAATTTATGGTTATGCCCTTCGGACTCACGAATGCCCCAGYCGTATTTATGGATCTGATGAATAGAGTATGCAGACCATACCTAGAAAAGTTTGTAATCGTGTTCATCGATGACATACTAATCTACTCCCGAAGCAAAGAAGATCACGAGAAACATTTAAAGGTGATAATAGAGTTACTTAGGGACCATAAATTGTATGCCAATTTCTCGAAGTGTGAATTTTGGATTCGAGAAGTACATTTTCTTCGGCACGTGGTTGGTGAGAAAGGGATACACGTGGACCCAGCAAAGGTTGAAGCAATCAAGAAATGGGAGACCCCGAAAACGCCGACATAAATCCGTCAATTCTTAGGATTGGCCGGATATTAAAGGAGATTCATCGAAGGGTTTTCGAAGATCGCACAACCGTTGACGACGTTAACCCAGAAGGACAAGAAGTTTGAGTGGGGACAATGACAAGAGGACGCTTTTCAACTACTAAAGCAGATGTTGTGCGATGCGCCAATTCTAGCCTTGCCGGAAGGGACAAAATTTTTTGTAGTATATTGTGATGCATCCCATCAAGGACTGGGGTGTGTATTGATGCAAAAGGATAAAGTTATCGCCTATGCATCCAGGCAGCTTAAGGTTCACGAGCGAAACTACACTACTCATGATCTAGAACTAGGAGCAGTGGTCTTTGCACTTAAAATTTGGAGGAAACTGGGATAACCATTTGCCGTTGGTAGAGTTTTCCTACAATAACAGTTATCACACTAGTATCCAGTGTGCCCCCTATGAAGCCTTGTATGGTCGAAAATGTCGATCCCCACTTAGTTGGGTGGAAATCGGAGATAGTCAACTGACAGGACCCGAGGTAATTCAAGAGACGACCGACAAAATTGTTATCATCAGAGATAGACTCAAGGCTGTTAGGGATCGTCAGAAAAGTTATGCTGATAACCGTAGGAAACCATTGGAATTCCAGGTGGGAGACAAGGTGCTTTTGAAAGTATCCCCTTGGAAAGGTTTAGTGCGGTTTGGTAAAAGAGGTAAATTGAGCCCTAGGTACATTGGACCCTTTGAAGTTATTGACAAAGTTGGTCCCGTCGCGTATAAGCTCAAGTTACTTGAAGAGATGAGCGAGATTCAGGGCATGTTTCATGTTTCGAACCTTAAAAAGTGTTTAGCCGACAAATCTCAAATCGTTCCCTTGGAAGAAATTCAAGTAGACAAAACTCTTTACTTTGTTGAAGAACCAGAAGAGATACTCGACAGGGAAGTTAAGTAGCTCAAAAGGAGTAAAATCCCGATCGTCAAGGTTCACTAGAAATTCAAGCGTGGACCGGAATACACTTGGGAACGTGAGGACTTTATGAAACAGAAATACCCTTATCTCTTTACTAGAACGGGAGACCGTATGTCAAAAAAAATTTGAACTTCGGGACGAAATTCTTTTAACCAGGGGAGACTGTGACAACCCTCAACTTCCCACCTCAGGTTAGCACTTACTTTAACTGATTTTATTAATGGAAYAGGGTTCTGTACAACGATTATATTAATATTATATCCCAAATATTTAATTTTGGTAAATTATAGCTCAATATATTGCCTTTGGCATTTTTAAGACAACTTTGGTTTTTGCGCGCGCAACCGATTTAACGATATTGGCAGGTCCCGATTCTGCCTATCAGACTGATAAGACAAGATCATAAAATGATATTAAAAGTATTCAATTTACATGAGTTCCCTTAAGAATATTTAAAAAAAAAAACTGCATTTCGTTACGCAAAAAACGCCAAAAATGCTCGTTTTCGGTACCAATGCCCGATTTTAGCCATTATAGTATATAATGCCAAGCACTCCAAATAATTTTTAAAACTTGCATAAAATATAGAGTCTTCATATTTTAATATTTTTTTACTTAAAATTATATTTAAGGAAATTATTTATCTCATAAAATAGGAATTTGGGTTTTTTCTCAATTTCTCACAAAAGTACCCAACTTATTAAGTATTGGGCTAATCTTTTTACAAAAAAAAATGAGAGAGAAGGCCCATAGGCCTACTCCATGGCTGCCCCCCCCCCCCTTCCTCTTTCTACCTATAAAAAGACTTTTTTTTTCACTCACAACTCTCATTCTCTCATTTCACTCTCCCTTTCTACAACATTTTCTCTCAAAGTCTCAAACCTCTCTCTAGAAATCCTCCTACTTCTCTCTACAATTCCTTCTTACATTCAAGAGTTCATCAATATTTCAAGAYCATCTAAGGTAAATTTTGTTTATGTTTCCTCATCTAAACCTCTTTTTCAAACTATCTTCTTCTCCTAACGTTGGTTGTTGTGAAAAATGGGTCTTGCATGTATGAGAAGAGGGCCAAAAAGAGATAAAACCTCTTTAATGGAGACAAAACAAAAGAATAACTTTTGATAAACTCAATACACATGCAAAAGTTGGCCATCAGCTTTTGGCAGAATCTGACCTTGACTTTGG